CTGATCTCATATAGCTATGAGAGAATGGAGAAGAAGAAGAGTTAAATTTTAATTAAAAATAAAATATTGTCCTTAACCTAACCTGACCAACTTAAATTTAACAGAAAGAAGAATAACCGGATTTTAGATTTATAGTTTAAATGTTAAATAAATTATAATATATGAGCCATTATGGTGTAGGAAATAGGTATTACATAAAAATTATAAGACAATTAATTATTATTTATTAAATTACCTGGCATTTTAAGAAGCATTAATGATTGATCTTGTGTTGAAACTAAAGCAACACAATTAACAGTATTTGCTTTACTACGTCCACAAAATGCAGAAGATATTCTTGGATTGGAAATTTTCAAAGAACTCTTAGACTCCTTTAATGACAAACTTTCGATAACGGTAGAATCCTCTAATATAGATCCTTCTGTTACAATGGTGTCCTAAAAAATATTATTAACAATAGTTATTAGTTATTACAGAGTGGAAAACTACCTATTTCATTTTAATACCCTAAACATAACTTTGGAAGATAATATAAAAAATAAATAACTAATTAAATACCAAGTATAGCTTAGATCTTTAGATTTTCAAGAAGATAAACTTATATGAATTAAACAAATAATTATGGTTGTAATTTTGCAGATGAATAGTTATAAGGATTGTTTTAGTATATTTGACTAGAAATTAAATGTGGAAATAAATAAAAAATCGTTATTGTTGGCTTATTTAGAATTTATATTGACAACTACGATCTTATAAAAACGAAAATGTTGAACTTGGCTGTAAATCATATAAAACTATAACAAATTTTATAAATTGTGTAATACATACTTGCATAGGTGAAGAAATTTGTAATAAAATATGCCTGTCAGCCATATATGTATATATAAATGATGATGATCTTGATGTTAAAGACCGTACAAGAATTTTATTTTCCTTGACATAAACTAATTTGTCCACATTTTTATTTGTAACAATAAATGCAGGTATTGGGCTTCCAGGGACAGCCTCTATTTTATCTCCGATCATATCAAGACTTAAACGATCAGTATTGGACTTTATTAATGATCCAATATTTAATTGACCAGCTATATCAAGACAGGCCAGACTTCCAGAGGATAATGCACAACTAAAAATATTAAAAATATAATCAGAAGTAGATAATACAAAACATAAACATTTTTTGTATTACCGATCAGAACCACTAAACCAAGTTGCTGGGAAAGTATAAGTAGCTATTCCTTTGACACCAGTTTCTAAATGGTATGTGTCAACAGCTATTAAATTGTTTGAAGAATACACATTATGAAGGAGTCCGTTAAAAACAAACAAATACAGGACATTACTAGTCTCTGTACTCCATTCAAAATGTAAATATCCATCTTTGACATCCCATCCTCTCACTTTGATTACATCAACTCCACTAATTGTAATGATTTTAGATTTGGTTGGATGTATTAGTTCAACACTACCTTCAGGTCCTTTTTCCAAAATTTGTCTCCAAATAATATCACCTAAATGCAATTAACCATATTAAGAAACATTTACAACTATATGTCTATACAAGTAATTTATGTGTTACTCACCAGTGTCTATAGCTAAAGAAGCAACAACATTCTTTTGAGTAGCAACATATAACCTTTTTGTTGTTACGTCAACATCAATTGATGACAATTTAACTTCACCAACATAATCTTGTTTCCTGAAAATCATAATTTAATGAGGAACCCTCCTTCTTTTCTGTTTTATGTTTTCATATTCTATTCTATAGTTTAAGTCACCCTAAGACTATGTTAGTCTAATGTTTAAGATATTTGCTATTAAACTATGTAATCACAAACTACCATATAAATGAAAAATGGGTCCTATCTGTAAAATAAATAAATATTTTATGTGTTCGGCGTCAGGATTCGGCAAGTCAAGAAGAACATGTGTAATATAAATTAAACGCTTATTTCTAGACTAATATTATTCAATACTTAAGTTTATTAGTGCAATCATTGTAACTGTACTCTACTAAAACAAATTCTTATTTGTAAATATTAATAGCCACATTTTATAGCGTATATGTATCTACTGTAAATAATTAACTATAAACTGTAGATGTGTTGTAAAAATGGACCCAGCCCGTATAATATATAAATAGCTAACACAATAATTGAATTTAAATAATTCTGAAGCATTATATAATAGAAAACAATTCAATAATTGAATAATAATTAAGACTGAACATGTTAACAGCCAATTCATTCAAATAATTAAAGAAAATGTATAGGTAGGCTACTTGGTAAGTGGGTAAGAACTAAGAATGTACAAATATATAGAACTTTATACAATGAATACATATGTATATTTTAAATATACTTAAAAATACAGCCAGTTATCAGATAAATGCTTAATTATTATCAGTTTGTGAATTGTGGGGAAAAGAGTACGGTTGTTGTGTGGCATGTTGAACTGGTAATAAAAAATAATTTCGGCATAGGCGACAATAAGTTGAGTGTTTGATAAGAATTCAATTATTGTAGACAAATTTAATAACACTGATTTTTTAGAAGTACAAAACTGGAGTAAGAAAAAAACGCATTGGAATAATGAACAATATCAACGATATAGTGCAAACATCTTGGTGAGTTTTTTTTCCACTTTGGTTTGATCAGATTTGCTTAGTAGTCGGGCACAACACAGACAGTTCACTTACCAGTCAAATTTTCCAGCTTGGTCTTCATATAACCCATTGACAATGAATAAAAATGAAGATAAGAAGACAGTAAATATAAGTTTAGAAACCATATTTTTTATTTAGGTAGGGCTTAAATTATATTATACATATTATTCACAAAAAAAAAAGTCAACGTAAGTACACAAGTACACAACTATGAACGAATAATGTATAAACTATAAACCTATAATAGTTAATAGAATATAAATTAAAATTTTTTAACTATTTTATAATCAACGATAATGATGATTATTGATTAATTATTAAGCCGTCTAGCCTCTACTTGTCAGTAATCTTCAGAAACAACCGGAATACTGACACTATCAGTTTCCAGATAACTTTTATCACGGATTAAAATTTTTATATTTTTTATAGTTATAACGTACGATTCACCGCCAAAAATGTTCGATTTGAATTTTGAGTAAGTACACAAAGTTCTTATACTCGATGGTTTAATCACATAATGTCAATATTGCAATAAAGTAATAGTTTATAAGTCTATGCTTTGAGTGAATTGATCATGAAATATTTACGAACAATTATATTAGTTGAACGCACTTCATTGAATTGCATGAAAATACATTTCAGTTTATCATTCCGTTTAAAACTGACAATTTTTTGTATAACTATTCAATTGAAGTCATATTGTTTTACATTTCAAGGAATTTATTATAAAATGTATATTATTTTGAAAATAACACATGGTTATATTCTCTTTTGTGGTTTTACTCTCCTTTATTTTCTATTCACAGAGTTGTTTTTTATTTCCAGCAATCAATTTTTAACATTATAACCCCAGTTCTCTTCCCATGACGCTATTGAGTACTTACCACGATTAATTGATTGTAATAAATACTATTAAGTAAACACTGTTATTTTAACGTTTTAGTTACTTTAGATTTTGGATAAAGTTCGATAAACTATAGTAATGAACTGTTTTTTAATGTATTGACAGTAACAATAGTGTATTAAAAAAAAATTTTTGTGTTCGCTTCTTGATTATAATTGTAGTGCTCATACATTTTAAAATAGCACTTGGTGTAATCTAGACAGGATATTATCATATTTTCTGTAATGAATATAATGTAGGCTATAGCGTTACTACTTACTGGTAGGTACCAACAGGTTTGATTTGTGTAACTGTTATTATATATACCTACGTATATACATTAAGTTAGAGTTCTGATTATTACATTAAATATATCATTCATAGTAACACAGGCATTTGTTCTGCTGCCAAGCTTAACATTCTCCGTGGTCCAAAATTGTAAATGTTAACTTATCCAGTTACCCGGATAGCCAGATATTTATTAAGTTTTTAAAAACAATTTGTATTTGGTCAGCATTTGCTGATTGCTTCTTTGCAATTAAATTTGTTTGACATGATTGAATAATTATTTGCTTAAAAATTAGAAACTTTATTAATTATTATCTACCAATAACTACAAAAAATATATATTTATTTAATAAACATCTGATTATCTGAATAGGTAGTTCAAATAGTTTCATATATTATGTCGTCAAACTGGATCATTTAATATTTTTCTTCAAAATATCAGCTAAATCTTCCATATTTAAATTCTATACAAAAAAGTTATAATTTATTAAATGTACATTACATAAATAATTTAAAAATATATCCTTTAATTTATAAGCATATTAAGCTTCAAGTTTCATATTATTAAATAATAATAAATATATTATTCAATATCAATACCTACCACAGTCCACGATAAATACATATAGGAAGTGATAGTACCAGCGTGAAGAATGTCGTTATTTTACTCTACCTTTTATTCAGAGATAAAACAAAAAAATTATGATACGTCTATATAATTTAATTAAATTTGTTGGGGGTTTTGCGGGATGGGTTTATATCTCAAATTTGTCGTCAAACCTTACATAAATAATAATTCGATACATCCGAAAAATTCAATAATTAAATTTATAAAAATTGTCTAATATAATAGCCAGATAAGTATTATAATATATATTACCTATGTCCTATAACCTATATTACATGTGTCAAGTACTATAGGTATTTTAAATTTTTTATAATTTGCTATTATAGGTATTTTGTAATACCCTAAATACCCTATTCTGTCCAAGCGGTCAATTAATGGTTTATATAATTAAAATAATGGCATAATGCGTGATAAATTATTGCGTTCGGGTTGCCTATCAATAGTGTTATTTAATATTTTAATTTAGGGTTTGATCTTTGATGTGTATGTTTTATATACATATACATAAAGATAATAATTAATTATAATTTATAGCCAATGCTCAATAGTGATTAATATATTTTTGATACATTTTTAAATAAATACCTTTCCAGCAATTTTTAGTTCGTCCCAACTAATATCCTGAACCAATGACGAGCAGAAACTTTCATAACAAGTACTCTTTAAAAGTTGCATAAGTTTTTTTGACAGAAACCTTTAAAAACATTTGATCAATATATAAAATCATAAAAAATCATAAACATACAAACATGGCTTATGTATTAAGATATTAGATAGGGTAAATAAATATATTTTTATTCTCCTCAATGTGCAATTAGATTAATGACCGTGACTGCAAGTGGTATATTAGATATTAGATATTTGTGTTATTAGTTATTACCACGATTTATATATAAAGGTATACGTATACCTATTACCTAGTACCTACTATATAATATTCTGTATATCTTTAATACAGTGGTTGATACTAGTCTACTATTGTTTTATTTTTCCAAAGAGATAATATTGAACTTTACATTTTTGATACTTCCTGGTTCAGTGACATGGATAGGAGGTTTCTGGTGACCTCGGCCCCTATTTAGTTATTAGGTGGGTAAGTGGGTATAGGTACTGGCTGTCATTAAAAATTGGAAGAAAGATAATTAATTTAACAATAATTAGTAAATAATAGGACGATGACACATCCAGCACTTTCCAACTTAAGAATAACCGGCTGTATCAATTTGATATTAGGGTAGTCGGCACTAGTTTTGATCACCCAACTGTATGAAGGAAAAATTAATGTATTTTTGGCACCTAAAATTTGATTTTTTGATTAAGTTTTGAAAACCAGAAAATAGATACTGAATTTTTTCATTGTAATATTTTGAATTTTCACTGATTGATATCTGGAGATTGCAGTCATTATTGAACATGGGATTTTTTTAATTTTTAGAGCACCCAGGATGTAGGCATTGTTCACAAAGAAGGCCCGTAAACTATTATATCTATCTATCAAGCTTATTTATAAATACATGTTGCGTATAATTACCTAATTTCTGCATTAGCATCTTCTATTGTAGCTACACAATTTTTGAGGATTAATTGTCTAGCTTTTTTTAGTCCAGTTATTCCAGTTAATATTTTCATTGGGTCTGCAATAACAGTAACACAATGCATCAATCGCAACTGTGCTATTTTAACAGCCGGATTTTTGTGTTGACTACAGTTGGCAATTGATTTTATGGAATACAGTGGTGGAATGCTGATCACCATTTTATCAAGAGCCCAATTTGCATCAATGCGGATATTTTGATTTTTATCTGCCGTACGGTTCATAAGTCCCGTAACAATGCTATCAAATAACTATAGGTACACAATAATTATAACAAATTTATTATTTGTCAATTTTAATTAAGTTACTATTAAAATAATTTATTGTAGGTATGTATAGGTATAATGAGTTTACTGGTCGATCTGTACATCGCATTGTTCTAAAGAGCTCGCCAGCTGACTGACAAGCTAATCGGACATAAAAAATTCGTTGACTGTTGAGAAATTGAACAATTTTTTGATTAATCAGGTTTATATGAGGTTTTAATAATTTCTGGTGATTTCGTGCTACTTGTACCGCATCAGAAATTGCTCTAATGTGTTCTTCTCTAAAATTATTAATTTAGATACGTTTTGATTAGGCATGTCACATGTGTGCAGAGTAGGTAATTGTTAAAAAATTACGAATTAGTGTTTTTCAAACGAATTTGTACTGATTTGATAACTTCTTTTGGATTATCAAGTGGTGCTTTTTCTGGCAATAAATCTGTTACACATCCAATAATTGTATCCATTTCCGTTAATAATTTCCTAAAAATAAACTGGTATGTTTATTCATGTTTGAATTTAATAAAAATATACATTTGTTTTTTTACAAATTGTTGAAATCAGATGTCACGTTTGTATTTGTTTGGTCTCCAACATGTACAAATGCCTTAGATTCCTAAACAATAATTATAAAATAAACTTATTTATTGTAAAAAATATTTTAATTCCTACTTTTATAAGAACTGAAAAGATTAAAACACACATAGGTATAAACATGTTTAAATTAACTAGAAAAATAAAAACTTTAAATTTTAAGAAAAGTATTTTTTTTATATATTGTGAAGCTAAGGGAATATTTTTAAAAGTGTTAAGTCTAAGTAAGGACTACCATGAGTGAGAGAACACGTCTCAGCCCTTCGGCGACACGAAAATTGATTATTGTGCGCATCCCCACACGACACTCTGCCATAATGGAACGAAGCTTAATGGCAGGGTCAGGGTGTCATGTGGGGAGAGCGGAATCGGCTTGCTTTTCGCTGGACAAAGGATAGGTGAAGATTGTAGAGGACGGCTCAGTCTACTAACATTTCTAAATTACTAAATGCTTCCTAAAAGAAGACTAATTATCACCACGTATGCTTCCACACTGCACAGTAGTCCTTTCTCTAATCTGCAAGCGTGTCTCATAAATCGCAATGAATAAAATATTACATAATTGTATACCTACTACAAATGTATAGTTTTCATTTTGTCCATTTTGATTTAGTATTGGATCTAAATAACAAATTTAAAAATATTATATACAGTTGGTAAATCTATGTAATTTAAAAATGTGAACTTTAATAAATGAGAAAGTCAATCGACTAATAAAAATTGTTACTAGTTTAGCATTCTAAAAACAATGGCGAAGTCAGAATTCGGGGGTTGGATTTAGTTTTAAAGTTATGACTAATTGAAATTTAAAGTATTTTTATAAACACCCAACGTGGTAACCCGCTCGCTTGGACAAGTAAAATCGAAAACATCCTTCAGCTTGTGTTGTAAAACCAGTGCAGAGTGGGTCTCGGACTTCAAACAGCTATAACTTCAAAACTAAGTACGACTGCCAAATTCTGACTTCCCTATCGTTTTCAACATGTTAAACTACATAAAAAAAAAAAAACAAATTAGCAAATTTAAAAAAGGGTGTAGGGTAAAACAAAAATAGATATACCAAAATTGTTTATATTTAAATGCTTATTTTTTTTTTAAGAAATTAGAATTCAATTATATCACCATTTGAAGGAACTTTTCCTAGACCTCTACATGTAGGGCATTCAACGTCATTACTCTTTTTTGAATCCTAAAATATCATACAGTTATAAAATATTTTATATAGGTTTAAATAATTTTTTTGTCATACCATAGTAATTTCTAGTAATATCAGAGTAGGTACCTAATAAAAAATGAATGTAACAAATCTTTAAACTTTGTATAAATATTTGGATTACCTATTATTTGTAAACAAAAAAAAATAGAACTTGGTAACCAATAGGTGTTGTCTTCCTGATTAAACTGTGATAATAATTGACAGTTAAAAAAAAAATACATAGTTGACTTGGTTACACGTAGACGTAGGTATTAATGTAGGTATTAATTATAATAATACATTAATATTTATATTATATAGTAATTTATTATATACAATGAGCTTTTTATGACTTGGATACTTATTTTTTTTCTGACTTCTACAATATTTACATTACACAGTAATTCTCAATATTGGGGAAGGGGGTGTTAAATATCTATGTTATTTAAACTACCTTTTTTTAAAAGTTATGTTAAGTAATGTTGGTATTATAAATTATGATTGTATGAAAACTGTTATAAATTATAATACAATAACAGAATAACTACTATGGAGCATTGAGAGAGGGTGATGGAGCAAAGTCTGATAACACGTTTAAGGACATTTAAATGGATTTGTGTGTAGTAGGACCTAATTTAGGTATGTATATTTCTAGTTATAGCTGTCCATAGTAATCTATAGGTACAAAAGTAATTCAACACATTCAAATATAATATTTTGTTATACATTTTTCCAAACTCAATCGTCTTAAATTTGTTACGGATAATAGATATAACTTTATTTGATTGATTTATTCATTTTTGTGAAAGGCGATTGGCGGATAAATATTATTTAACATGTTATGACTGCCGCGAGTGTCATCCGTTATTTTAGTCTACAACTTCGACTGTTTACATATTATTATAAATTATTATACTATTTTATTAAAGATAGTTAATAGACTTATTAATATTGTTGGTTTATCAGTTATTACTACATTTTACCCGTCTAATTATCATTTTATTACAGCTGTACCATGATCGCTATCTTCGACCATATATACTAATTAAAATAATAATATAATAATTAATAAAAATAATAAAATTAATTAGTTCATAATATGGTCGAAGATCGGTACACAGAATAAATTCTGTGATGGGTGTAATAATTATCATTTATCAGGTATCGTGTTATATCATGAGCTGTACAGTACTAACTATCGTCAGATTGTCTACAACAGTCGTGAAGTCGTACAGACTATTGAAACACAGAACAACTGAAGTTCAGACCTTACAATTGTACAAGTAAAGTGAACATTAAACAACAAATAACATTACCTACTACAAAAGAATTTTGGTGTTGTGACTGACGTCACTGAATCAAGGTGTACTATAATACACTATAGTTGTATTACACCTCGGACTGTAGTGAGTAAATTCCAAAGATAATGTTCATAATTATCTGTTATCTGACAGCTGTTTGTTGAACATTGATAAGCAAGGGGCTGAATATTAAATATAACAATATTTGATTACTTAATGCCTTTGTACCTCTTGGTGATTATTACAAATTTAGTATTTGCTACGTTCATAAACTATTCGTTAGTGTTAGTATTTTGTTTTTACCCAACTGTTTGGGCTCTACATTTAACTTAATCGTAAATATTACCAGTCAAAAAGTTCAATAAAATCAATACAAAATGATGACCCTTATAAATCGGATACTTGATTGGATTAAGAGTAAATTTTGGACTGAAGAAATGGAACTCACCCTTGTTGGGCTACAATGTTCCGGAAAAACTACATTTGTTCATGTTATTGCAGTAAGTTACTTATGGTTTCTTCATACTATAACTTTTTTTTTAATTACATTTTTATTACTTGTCCACTGTGAGTGGTTAATATTATGTTGTATCTACAGCTGTTTGAATACATTTTCAATTTAAAAATATAAATTATTTGCTTTGTTATAATGATAAAGCAAATTTAATGAGTGTATAAGAATTATATTTTCTTTTATGTAACAATATACCATTTAAGTACATATTATGTGTTTTATAGAGTGATTCATCATAATATGGGAGGGGTCTATAAATATTGTTCAATATATTTTTATTATTGTTTATTTATATTGATACTACTGAGTTGTCTAATTCTTCTTCCTCCTAAATAATAATTATCCAAAACATTTAGTTATATCACTAACTAATGAATAAAAGTATAATAAGATTAGGGGGATTTTTATACATTTATTTGATGAAATAGGTATATTTATGTTTTATTCTCTTGTAAAATATGAATAATATTTGTTATATCATATAATGATCTTTAGTTATTCATTAATGAGATAGTGTGAATGTTTAGGATTTTCACAAGTAATGATTAGGAGTATAAAGTTCCTATTTAATAACAAAGATTTTTAGGGTCAATATTATAACATACGTTATTACAATTTTTAAATTTTGTAAATTGTTATTGATTAAGATCTTGTTAACATTGTATTACATTTTCATATAATGTAGTTGAAGATGATAAATATATAACATTCAATTATATGCAAATTAAACTATTGGAGTTCCCAATTCCCATTTATTTTGTTTTATTGTTAATAACACATAAAATAATTTAGACATTAGGTACATTATGGTTTGTTACAAACATCTTTTTTCATTATTAATAAAAAATAACAATTTTTGATATGGTAACAAATCAATTAAATACATTTTTAGTCTGGACAATTTAATCAAGATATGATACCAACAGTTGGATTCAATATGCGAAAAGTGACAAAAAATAATGTTACTATTAAAATATGGGATATTGGTGGTCAGCCACGTTTTCGATCTATGTGGGAGAGGTATTGTCGAGGAGTTAATGCTATTGTGTATGTATATTTAAAATTAAAAGAGATAATCTTACATTTCATACTTATATACATACCTATATAATTCGCAAATATTTACAGTTATATGGTAGATGCAGCAGATACTGATAAATTAGAAGCTTCAAGAAATGAACTTCATAATTTAATAGATAAACCACAATTAGCTGGTATACCTGTCTTAGTTTTGGGTAACAAGAGAGATTTGCCAAATGCTCTAGATGAAGTTGAACTCATTGACAGGATGTAAGTAAATCATTTGTTTGAAGTTTCATTGTTTTATGAATATTTTTTCTTTTATTATATTTTTTTATTTAGGAATTTAAATGCAATTCAAGATCGAGAAATTTGTTGTTATTCGATATCTTGCAAAGAACAAGAAAACATTGATATTACTTTGCAATGGTTGATTAGCCATTCCAAATCTAATCGTCAGTCATCAACGTAAAATTACCATTGGATAAATGTCATATCTAGCACTGAGTTTGTGCTAAAATATTGAATCTTTTCTAGATTTAATTTTTTGTTTAAGGCTGATCCACCTTTTTTAATTTTCTTTTACCCATTATAGATAAATTAACGCCGTTTTATCAATGCACTCCTGGTAATAATACAGCAACTAAAAATAGAAATTATAATATTATTAATTATTATAGAAAATAATATTTTTGGATCAAACCTCAGTTTATATTACATCATAATATTTACACTAATTGATATGGGTTTTATTACTTTTTCGGTATTTATAACATATTGTATAGTTTTGTTGTTAACAACAAATTTTAATATTTTTTATGTAAGTTATAATTTTATCATTCAAAATTTATACATTTATATTATTATTTTATTATTATTTAAGTTATTATATTTTATATATATTATGTATTATTCTATTAATCAGAAGTATATTGCTTCTAAGAATATTAATAATTTATTCAACTATTTTATACCTAAAGCTGACTATTGTTACATGGGTTTATTTTTTCTGTAAATATTTAGTTATTTAGCCATTAAATCTATTATTGTAACATAGTATTGAAATTATTTCTGTCATGCCTAATTTAAATATCTTATTCTCATATTTTCTTTTCAACTTATACTATAGTATTCAAAAATTATATTGAACTTGAATTATAACATTGAATTATTATATTGTGTCTATAATATTTATTTTACCTATAGTTTATAAACTGTGGGAACAGCCTGTAGTTGTAATTGTACTTTTTAAATGTAATTAGTTACAGTTATTTTTAATTTTATTTATAAATGCTATTTAAACAGTAGTTATTTAAAAACAAAGAACTGATTTTAACAAGTAATGAATAATTAAATATCATTATGTGGCATTTTTTTTTTCATTAACTTATTTTAATAAGTTGTATTTTCTTTAATTCATTGAATTTAATTTTCAATGGCATAATTATTGTTATGGTGATCTATTAAATTATTTTTACTCGAATGTAGTAGGTAAAAATGTTTTAAGATGGTTTTGACTTTATTCGGTCAAATAATAAACCCATTTATTATCCAATTTAAAAATAATAATGTATTATTATCAAATGTCAAAACAATCTTAATGTGATTATGTTCAATGCAGGGCTTATTGTAAAATTCTTTTGGACCTGGGACATAATATTTTGCAAGAGTTTAATAATTGTGAAATCCAAATTGTTATGGTTTGGGTATGGGCCTGGCTAGGATGGCCAGTTATTCATAAGCTAAACCATGTAATGATGTTGGCTATGTCCAGTGGCCACTTGGTAAGTACAAGAACACAAAAATAAATATGATTTATGATAATATATTGGATTAACAGGGTATGTAGTTGTTGACCAAGGGAGGTATTAACTGTAAATATACACAACTAATGGAACAACCTAGAAACTGGACTTTCTGAATGATGAATATCAGACACCATTTCAAGGACTGAGATTGTCCGGTATTTAGGTATTTCGCTGTGCATTGTATAATATGATTTATGAATGAGTAATTTGAATTCCCTGGGGCCTGTCAATTAGATCCCGTTGTGTCATAGAAGTCTACAGAATAGACTTAAGACCATAGGGGTCTTGGGATACGTCTGGCGTCTAGAGTGGTTTATTTAATTTAATTTAGTAGTCTAGTATTATGAACAGTATAGTTGACCATTCTTCCGCGGTTTGCGCCCTTTTGATTTCTTCTTCCAAGTTCTCTTGCCACATGGTCAATCATGGCTTATCATTCCGTGTCCAGTCACCTATTATCTTATCTCAAACAGTTCCATACTCAATTTGTGAAATGTGAACACGAACGCGAAATGTTGGAATTCAGTATTAACTATAAAAATTGGGATAGTTAGTTCTATATTCCATTTTTAGTTAAGTTTCAAAAATAATGTGTCTATATATTCCTAGTTTAAAAACAAATTATTTATTTATCCTTTCAATGACTTACAATTATTTATGTGAAAATGTTTAAATTTATAATTTCAAACAGTTGAAAGTATGAATTTTATGAGATATATTTAAGATAAAAGGACAGGTTGTAATTATGGTCTTGGCATCCAAGGAAGTCGTCACCGTGGCTTTGTTGTGCTGTGTATGGTACGTAGTAAGCTCTGGTAGCAATGTAGTCGGCAAGACGCTTTTAAACCAATTCCCATATCCAATGACTGTGACAATGGTGCAGCTCCTGTCCATAGCTGTTTATTCAGGTCCGTTTTTCAACTTATGGGGCGTGAGACGATTTGTTGACATAAGTTGGCCCTATTATTTTAAGCTAATAGTACCACTTGCTCTTGGAAAGTTTGTTGGATCAGTTTTCACGCATGTCAGTCTATGGAAAGTACCAGTTTCCTATACACACACAAGTAATAAAATACATTCAATGTATACATGGTTTCAGTTTCTAATAATTTTTGTATTTGTTATTTTAGTAAAAGCTACCATGCCACTATTTAGTGTTGTATTATCAAGAATAATACTAGGGGAAAAACAATGTTTAAAAGTGAGTTATTGAAAACAATATTATGTGATATGTTTAATCGAGTGTTTAAAAATTTTATTTCAGGTTTATCTATCATTAGTACCCATAATTGCTGGAGTGGCCATTGCGTCTTTTACAGAGATATCTTTTGATGTAATAGGGTTGATGAGTGCCTTGGCAGCTACATTACAACACACATTGCAAAATATATTTTCTAAAAAAGTACTTCATGATACTGGTATTCACCATTTACGACTGTTACATATACTAGGTCGTCTTGCATTAATGATGTTCCTACCTGTATGGCTTTATTTCGATTTTTGGCATCTAGTGACAGTTTCAAATTTCAAAGTAATAATATAAAATAAATTATCAATTTACAATAAATGACATTGATATATACATATATATATGTTTTCCTAAAAATAATTTCAGATGAATAATGAATCGTACAAAGTATTAGGTTTGCTGTTTACTGATGGTATACTTAGTTGGTTACAAAATATATTAGCATTTAGTGTTATGTCAATGGTCACATCTTTAACATACGCTGTAGCCAGTTCATCAAAAAGAATATTTGTTGTGGCTGCATCTTTATTTGTGATTGGAAATCCAGTTACTTTTAATAATGTTTGTGGTATGGCAATGGCTCTTTTTGGTGTTATTGCATATAATAAGGTATGTATTTTTAGATCACTATTTGTGAAAAAAAAATGTATTTTAATCATTCTTTTTAGGCAAAATATGATGCCAGACGAACTGATCAGAAACGTGTAATATTGCCAATGACATACCAACACACAAACAATTCTACATTTTGGCAAAATGGTAATGTAAGTTCCAGTTATATTAACGGGAATAAATCATTGTTTGTCTAATTTTATAATGTGACAGCTTCCATACAATTGTAAAAACTTTAAAATTAATAAAACAGTTGTTAAATATATATATATATATATATATTTATGTATTTTTATTTTGTTAATGTTTTCAGCTATACACTTTGTATTATTTTATTTTTTATGTTGTATTGCTTTTTGAGTTTTTTTTATTAAGTAGTTATGTTAAAATATTAGTTCTTTAAAAGTGTTAAATGAATAATATTGTAACATAATTGTTATGTACATAATTACTATTTTATGTTATAAAAGTGATTTAAATTTTATTTTATTATTTTTATATAAATGTTTGGTCATCTTATCCATTTATTTTTAATTCATTCATTTATAATTTAATTATTTTTGTTTTTTGTTAAAATATTAACAGTCAACAAAAACTAAATAAATTCCATTGTATATTACGGCTTTTTAAAAGTTTTACATTTAGACCTTGTTTATATTTTGTAAAGACTGTTTATTTTGTTTAGGTTGCTTAATGTAATAATTCATAATATTAGTTATTCTTTTTGATTTGTTAATTATTGAAATATTTTGAAATCACGGCCAATTAAATTTAATAGTTAATTTTATACATTTATAAATGGTCTTTTTAATATTTTTTGAATATTTTATTATTTATGAATGATGGAACTATAATGATCATTAGCTTACTGATAGGGGATTATGTATGTTGTTATCTCCAATTGAGATTATGTTATATTTTATCTAAAAATTAGTATGATAAGAATATTTTTGTTAAAATAAAATAGTTATTTTTATAAACCTAAATTGTAATTAATAGTTTAATTTTGATTCATCCAATGGTAGCCTAAAATGTTTTAAGCATTTTACAATGCCGAATGAATGTAAAAAAAATTTAATTTGATCAAATTATATTTTAAGCATTTTAAATTCAACATTAATGTCTAAAAGTAATACCCAGGTCTCAGTGTTGAACATTCACATATTCATATATTATTGTGCCATTTTAGTTTATAAAATGAATCAAGAATAAGGAGATTATAAGAATACATTATAAACAGGTGCTCTCACAACCATTAAATTGCTTATGGAAGAGTTTCTTCTGTGTTGATACCGATTATATATGTACTTCTGCCAGGGCCGAATTAAGGTTTTTGCCGCCCATAGGCTGAAATAAATTTACCGCCTAATTGACATAGGTATTGATATTTTACTAATATCTTAACGTAGTTTTTGGGTCACACCAAAAAAAAATTTGCCGCCCTAGGCTTTAGCCTACACAGCCTAAGCGGTAATACGGCCCTGACTTCTGCAGCCTGTAAGCGTATTATGTCGTACTGCATGTTTTTTAAACAATACAAATTACAATGAGGGGTCCATTGTACATTTATATACCATCTATTAATTAATATATTTTGCAATGAGTTCGACATCTGGTATAGTGGTATGTGTATGTAACATTCACCACTTAATTAATACGAGATTAAAATTTTAAAAGGATTAAGATAGTAAAAAAGCATGAGACAAGTATGTAAAAAAATATATATTTTATTATCGCACTTATGAATACAGAGATTGCAGTACGAGTTGTAAATTAAGTATTAACTGTACCCAATCGGTAATCAACTAAATAATTATCTAAAAATTGGTAATTATAATAATGTTTCTTATATTACGTAATAAATATTAAATACACATTCTGACATTATGTAACAGTAGTAGACA